GACACATCCCTCAGGAATTTGCCCTAAAGATGTGATCAACTATCTTGTGAGTACGTATCATGTGTATCATGTGTATCATGTACCATATGCATCATATGCAACAGATGTTCTGTGGAAGGCTTCACAACTTCTGTGGGTTAACAAGGCTTAACAACTTCTGTGGGTGTACGAACGTAGGCTTAACAACTTCTGTGGGTGTGTACTCCACGCCAGTGTAGTAGCCACGGTCGTCCGCAGGCCACGAAGTGAAGTGTCCGAACGTCATAGGGCGGGAAGCTGGGTGTGGGTGGTGGCGAAGAGTCGTGTGGATATTTGGTAGAGCTTGCACTGCCCCCCCACAAAGTGGGGGTATTGGCTGGCGTCGCATGAAAACCCTGGCACTGGTGAGAACACTGAGCGTTCGGGTAAAGTGATTGTTGTTGTTGTTGTTGAATACTCATATTTTCAAAGAATAATTATTGTTGATTCCCTCCACCTGTGCACACTGTTTTTTTCTCAAAGTGCGCCCCTCGACGCTCGCACCCGGTTTCTTATCGGGGAAAACCTTGATCCTCAAGCTGCGTTGTTGCCCTCCCAGATTACAACAACAACGGTTCCCGCCTCAGACTTCTTCACAATTGACTCATGACCCCCGCGCCCGCCTTAGACGTCCTCACAATTTACTCAGGATCGGTGCTCCCGCCTGAGACTTCCTCGTAATTTACTCAGGACCCCCGCTCCCGCCTGAGACTTCCGCGCAATTTACTCAAGGAACGGCGCTCCCGCTTGGGACCTCCCGCGCAACCGAGCTACGTTGAACTCTCATAACGGCGCTCCCGCCTGGGACCTCCTTCGAGCTCTCACTCCTGAAGGATACTTATTGTTCTCATACGCGCCTCTCCGAGGGAATAGAACTCTGACCTGAGGCTTACCCTTTTCGCACAAGCGGATTTTGGCGCTGTAGTGCTGGCGCTTCGTTATTGTATATATGGCTGATCACATTCCCGCACGCGCGAATCCCAGCAATGTGATTGATGACGTCGGGCTCCGTCTTCAGCTCCCGCGGGGCCGCTGGGCAACAACATTGTCCACTGCCGTATTTCGCTTTCTTGCACGCAGCGACTCCAGCGTTATGGCTAATGAAACGGGGTCTCAGTGTGGATTGCCGCTGATGTCTGCTTGCGACAAGTGAAACGGGGTCTCACCGACAAGTGCCACAGCTCGCTGCCGCTGATTGCGGGTTCGCCTCCCGCGCCTCTCCAATTACACGTGGCCGGGAAGAACTATAACCCCCCAAGAGGGGTACGATCGAATACGAAGAGGGCGGGTATCCAGGGTTTGGCATATGCATAGTGAATGACACGCGGGCAGATAGGAGCGAGCAGTCTTAAAATGTTTGTTTGTTTGTTGTTGTTGTTGTTGAACTCCCATTCCTGAAGAATCATTAGTGTTGATCCCCCCTCACCGGGGCGCGTTGGATTTTTTTCATTTGAAGTGCCCCCCCCCCCCCGGGGCTCGCACTTTGTTTTTTTGCCCAGGAAAGTCTTCCTGCTCAAACTTGCCCCCTGGCCCCCGGGTTACACCAACAACGGCTCCCGCCTGAGACTTCCTCACAATTTAGCCAGGGCACCCGCTCCCGCCTGAGACTTCCTCGCAATTCATTCAAGGGTCGCGCTCTCGCTTGGGACTTCCTTACGATGTATTCAGGAATCGCTCCTCCTGCGCTCTAGAGTCGCGCTCTCGCTGGAAACGTGCTTGCAATCTATTAAAAAATAGTGCCGTTGCGTTTGAATTTCTTGCAATTTACTCCAGCGCCGCGCTCCCGACACCCAGGCACCCAGGAGTCGCGCTCACGCTTAGGACTCCTTCACATATTATCTAGGAATCGGGATCTCGCTGCCCTTCGTGGCCCCGTTGCAGCCCTTCGTGGCCCCCTCATTTTGTTTCGCGGCCCCGTTGTAGCCCTTCGTGGCCCCCTCGCTGCCCTTCGTGGCCCCGTTGCAGCCCTTCGTGGCCCCGTTGCAGCCCGTCGTGGCCCCCTCGCTGCCCTTCGTGGCCGCGTTGCAGCCCTTCGTGGCCCCCGCGCTTTGTTTCGTGGCCCCATATATGCATGCCCTTCGTGGCCCCGCTGTCGCCCTTCGTGGCCCCCTCGCTGCCCTTCGTGTCCCCGTTGCTGCCCTCAGTGGCCCCGTCCTTACCCTCTGCGGCCCAACATACGTATGCCCTTCGTGGCCCCTGCTCGTCCGCGCCCGTTGTGGCCCCATGTGCACGCCCTTCGTGACCCCGCTGTCGCCGTTTGTGGTCCCCTCATTGTCCTACGTGGCCCAGGTGCTACCCTCAGTGGCCCCATCGTTGCCTTCTGTGGCCCCGCATTATCAGCCCTTCGTGGCCCACGCTCGTCCGCGCTCTTCGTGGCCCCGTACGCATTCCCTTCGTGTCCCCGCTGTCGCCCTTCGTGGCCTACTTCGTGTCCTTCGTGGCTCTGCTGTCGTTCTCTCTCGCTCTTGCTTTCGCTCGTCGTCGTCGTCGCCGTCGCCGTCGTTGCCGTCGTCGTCGACGTCGTCGTCGTCGTCGTGGTCGGTCCCCTGTCCGTCCCTCTTGGGGTCGGGTCGACGGTCCGCGGCTGCCCCGCCGATCAGCGCTGCCGCTGGCCAGGCCGACGGTCCGCGGCCGCCCCGCCGTTTGCTGGGGCCCGGCCTGCAGGGAAGAAAGGTATACCCACCAAAAAGGGTTCGATCGAAGACGAAAAGGGCGGGCATCGAGGGTTTGGGAAATTCGCGTATTCGACATTCGAGCAGATAAAGGCGAACAGTCTTAAAATGATTGTTGTTGTTGTTGGTGGTGGTGGTGGTGGTTTTGTTGTTGTTGTTGTTGTTGTTGTTGTTGTTGTTGTTGTTGTTGTTGTTGTTGTTTATGTTTTTGTTGCTGTTGCTGCTGGGTGCTAACTATGAAACAGTTATTATTGTTAGACCCCCCCGGCGCTTTGGCGCTCTCGCTTCGGCGCATGCTACATGTTCATTGAAAATGAGGCTCGCGTTCGAGCGGCTTTGGGGGGGCCCAAAACGGGCCAACAACAACTACAACGCTCCCGCTCGAGACTTCTTCCTTTTTCACTCAGGGCTGGTGCTTTTGCTTGCCGCCGAAAACCGCCGTCCCAACAAAACCAGCGCTACCGCTCGAGACTTCCTCCCGTTTACCTTGGACTGGCGCGCTAATCTTTCTCTCATCGGCGCCGCCCCCAACAACAACAACGCTCCCGCTCGAGACCTCCGCCTTTTTTACTCAAGGCGGTGCTCTTCCTCGCCGCCGGAAGCCTTTTGTTGTTCCTCAGGACGGTGCTCTTCCTCGCCGCCGACAGCCCCCGTCCCGACAAAACCACGGGTCGCGCTCGAGACTTCCTTCGTTTCTTACTCAAGGTGGTGTTCCTCCTCGCCGCCGGCAACCGCCGTCACAACAAACCAGCGTTCCCGCTCGAGACTTCGTTATTTTTACGCTGGACTACCGCCCTACTCTCTTCAGCATTTGCGCCGCTCCCAGCAACAACAGCGGCCCTGCTCGAGACTTCCTCCCTTTCTATTCAGGGCCAGGTCCTTGCCTCGCCGCCGGCAGCACCCATCTTCACCAAGGCAATCCTGTCGCTCGATACTTCCTTGTGCTTTACCCTTGGCTGGGGCTCCACTGGCCGTCTCGCATCGGCGCAGCAAGACGTGGGCATGCGTTTTCGAGGCGGGATATATTGAACTTTTTCGGAGGAGGTGTTTGCAAGACCTCATTGGGCGGGAGATCTGGGAATGAGAATAACGGACCCCGCTATAGAACAATAGTCCCCCATGATGGGGGTGGTCATCATGATGGTCGCATGTTTCGTGTGGAAGCATCGCGCATGCGGGTAACATGAGTGGTGTTATTGTTGTTGTTGTTGTTTTTGGTGTTGTTGCCGTTTTTGTTTGTTGTCGTCGTCCCACCCGCGACCCACCCGCGACCATCCCCGCGACCCACCCAGCGACCCACCCGCGACCCACTCCGCGACCTCACCCGCGACCCACCCGCGACCACAGCCGCGACCCACCCGCGACCCCACCCGCGACCCACCCGCGACCCACCCGCAACCCACCCGCGACCCACCCGCGACCCACCCCGCGACCCACCCGCGACCCACCCGCGACCCACCCGCGACCCACCCGCGACCCAAGCCGCGACCCACCCCGCGACCCACCCGCGACCCACCCGCGACCCACCCGCGACCCACCCGCGAACCATTTGCGACCCACCCGCGACGACCTCGCAACCTACCCACATTGGATTAGCGAAAAATCGGCGCCTGCGGCGGGCTTCTCCGGAGTCTCGCAAACTGCTGACGTCCCCACCGCCCCTTCACTCTTATCCGCACCTGCGGGGTGCTACGGTAATTCAATGTTGCATAATAATGGCATTTCACACAAGGTGTAACGAAGGAGCCACCCGGATTCAACCATGCAACAGCCTCGTGATGCAAGGCCCGAAGGGCGCGGTCATCCATCTTAGAGGAGTTAGGGCGAATCCCTCCAGGAGGGGGCTGGTTCCCTCTCTCCTTGAGCGCTCTCAAACAGTTATGGCAGCGCCAGAACCCCGAACTCATCCCCAAGGAAACATGGGCCCACACATGAGGAGATACCTGCCTTGAGGTTCCTTTGGGGCCGCGGGAGGGGCAATTCAATCACATTCAGAGAGGTCAACGATGGCAGCACAACGCGCAGGCCGATTTGGACACTCGCATTCCGAAGGCCCGTCTTCCCAACTCGTCTTCAGAAGCTCTGTGGTGGGAAGCAGCGCCAAGGTTAGCTGCCTTGTCGGCCTCGCCATTGCCCGTGCGCACCCAAAGCTGACGGGGAGAGATGGGGGGGAGCATGGGGGGGTATTGAGGTGGGGGGTGAGGAGGCATATGATGATGGTGAGGAGGAAGAGGAGGAAGAGGAGGTGGATGAGGAGACGCAGGAGGAGGAGGATGAGGAGGAGGAGGTCCGCTGCCACTTAGGCTCAAGTAGGAATTGACCCCATCTAAGCAGGCAGCTCTGCGCCTTGAGCTTTCTTGCGTATCGAGCGCAGGCGGACGTTCCATTTGCGTTCCTGCGGCTGGCCAGCCCCATTCGCCTCCGCAGACACGTCGTTCCCTACTCTTTCTATCCTTGTGCCATGCCTGAGTCTGGCTGCGGTCTTCCTGACAGTTCTGCTCTGGCTTATCGTTCAGGTGCTTTCCGCCAGCTCCCTCTGCTGAGCGTGGTGAACTGGCTGCACAGGCCCCTCGTACTGAAGCCGCAACAACGTGGGTTCCATGGCAAAGGAAGTGCCTCTGCGGCGGCCGTTGCTTCGTCGGCACATCGCCCTGCTGCCCATGGTAGTGTCCCTCATGCTGTGCCTAGCCAGGTGGATGTGGACTCCGGGCTCTTCGGACCCCCTCCTGACGACCCCTCCGACCCTCCGACTGAACAGCCAAGCGCGGCATTCCATCTCAAGGCCGATCCCACCATCTTCGTCGTCCGCACCGTTGTCCTGGTCGCCAAGGCTCAGGCGTCCAACCAACTTCGAAGACGGATCATGGACGGTTGACGATCATGAAGCAGGCCAGCGTTTCATTGTCAAGGGCAAAGATGCCCGTGGATGGGCCGCTCGTATGGTCTCCCAAGCTCATGGTAACATCAATATGGATTATGGCACATTCCGCTGTTTCACAGCCTTCTCTGCCTTGCGCCGGAACGCGGACATCTACGTCTCTACGGACAGGCACCTGGCGCAGATTCGGCGCGAGCTGGAATTTGATAAAACCAAGAACGTGCCAAATGACAAATACAACGGCGCCACTTTCTTCGCCGACCGCACTACTGGCAAGATCTCGCCACAGTGGCGCGTCTTCCTCAAGGTCACACCCTGCCAGAAAGTGGGGCCCTTCATCGAGTACGACCAGAAGGCATTGGACGCGCTCGACCCCAGCAGGGCCAACATCGCCAAGGGCATTGAGCAGCTCTTCGCAACCTCTTAGTCGGCTGAAGAGGGGAGTCTCTAACGCATGGCTCAAGTTGATCAAGCTATCGACGCGGTCGGCATCTCCCACTGTACTTTGCCATGGTCTGGCCACCTGGAATTTTAATGCCTTTTCCAACAGCAGCCAGGAAACGAAATCCCGTCAGCTCAGGTACCTGCGTTCGGTAATGGGGGGTTCCAACATCGTCGCGATTCAAGTGTTGCACGGCAGCGTTGACGAATTTTACGACTTCATTTGACATGTCTAACTCGAAAGTGAATTTCGGGTGTTTTGCTGCGGGGATCCCGAAAGGAACGGAGGAACCATCACGTTTTTTTTTCCCGAAGATCCCATCGTGGGCACGAGCAGATACCCTGGTCACGTCTGAGGTTATCCTTCCTGGTCGAGTATCGCTTACTGAGTTCGGCGTAGGCACCTGCCAGAAAAAAATAAAGATCACAGGTCCAGCGTTCACTTCAATGTACATCAGCACGGACTTACAGCACGACAGATCACACGTATCAAGACAATCGTTCAGCAGCACAAAGTCATCACGTCGTCCTGGTCATTACCGCGTCGTCCTGTCAGGAGACTTCAACCGGGCGGCACACAAATTTCGGTCGGTTGTGACACATGCTCACCTCGATACGCACAGGGCCCTCGCCAAATGGCTTAGGCATTGGAGATCCCCATGACGCTCCCTCGTGCAGCAACTCCTCGAAATGTCATCAGATGAACATACACGTACTCTTATCACGAGCAACACGTTTCAAAGATCGGCAGGGTGTTCCTATCCGCGTCGAGTTGGCTGGTCACGCAGCTGCACGTCTCTGCAAAGGTTCGAGATCTCCCCGATGCGCTGGAGCAGTAGGGCATCTCTGACCACGCCTCGCTCCAGGTGGTTCTGCAGCATCAACCGCCTCTGCGTTTTCACGCTCAGTTCATGCCACATGCGACATTCAAACATATATTTGTTTTCACGATCATTCGAAGATTTCCGGAGAAGGCCGGATCTATCTTTCTGCTCGCCTCCTGTCCGTTTCCGCGTATACAAACAAGTGACGCGTGAAGTTGCGAGACATGCGTGAAATTCTATGTTTGTGAACGGACCGACGACGACAGCCAGCAAACTGATCCTCTGGCGATCCGTGGCACGAGCCGCGTAGCGACAAGATGCCATCCCAGCTCGACGTATTCTTCGATGCGAGCTTGCACGCATTCTTTTGCGGACTGACTAGATGCACAACAGTTCGCCGGCGCGGATCAGGGAACAGTTGCAGTGAGCAGAATTGCCGGCCTCGCGGGCGAAGGTGCGCAAATCGATTCGCGTACTCGCTGATCGCAGTAGGGTTCGGGCTGTATTCGATCTTCTTGTTCGCCTCGTCGGGCGACGAGCGGATGGGCAAATCTTGCCCCCAAGTCGGTCGACAACATGTCTCTCCAGATTCAAGAACATGACGCATCTCCGACACCTCCCTCCTCTTGCCACGGGCGGCGCCTTCATGATGATGGGCCACGCGTGCCTCAAGATCTCGCCGGGCGCTGGGTCATCGCGCGGCTTCCTCCGCCTAGGCGTCCCGATCACTTGGTTCACCATCTCAGTGTCGATCTTCGCGCCCTCCGCCATCCTTCGAATGGCTCTGGCATGTGCCGCTCCGGCTGCGGTGCCGATCAAAAGTAGGAGTTTATGTCGTCTTCGATACCTAGGAACATGCCTGGCTGGTAATGGTCATGCAGTCGACTGGCGTTTCCCAGAGGTAGGAAACATCACATTCTCGGCGAACGGCGGCAAGCGCCATCTTGAAGTCTTCCCCGTACCTCCACATGTACGCCGTTTTCCCATCAATGCCTGTTCTCGCTCGGTTGATCTGCCCAGCCGCGTGCAGCACCATCCATGGGATGATGGCGTGCGATGCTCCGATCTCCATCCGTAGCATATTCTCGGTGGCGTCGTGTCTCAGGGTGTGTACTTTCGCCTTGTCAGCCTTCGCAGCTGCTTCCGCCTGTCCGCGGACTTCTCGGGGACACTTCGATGTCGCACTTCACGCGCAGCTCCTTGCCCGGCTCCTTCTTGAATGCCTCGTGGGCTGGTCCCACGTCGCCCCGTAGGACTACCCTGCCGCGCGCCATATCCTGATATGTCCAATCGTCCTGGGCCTTTTCGAAGGGACCCTGCAGCAAACGATCCACCTATGCTTGCGGTCCCTGCTGAAGATGATGGGTGACGCGTCTTGTCGCTCCGTGATGTAGCCGTAGTCGAAGCCGTACAATGCCAGCGCGTCAGCCGCATGATCGGCTTGGACCTGCTTGTCGTCGAGGCCCCGCCCAGCCACGCACGATGGACACCATGCCCTGTGCGGCTCGTGGCTCACCTCGTGCTCCTCGATCTCGCGACGGCTCGGGGCCGCCAGAGCCCTGGCTGCTCGAGCCAGTGGCCTCTCCTGCGTCTCCGCCTCCAGCGCCTGCTGGGCCTCCATCTCCTCACCTCCTGGCGGCGGTTGTGCTTCCGCCGCTGCCGGCGCCGCGAGCGGCGCCAAGGCGATGGGACCTCTGGCTGGCGTGCCCCGCCCTGTTTGCGCGGCTCGCTCGTTTCTACACCTCGGTCCATGGCGCGATGTTCCATTCCATCTCGTAGATCTTCTTGACCCTCTCCAAGGGGATGGCCTCTTTGCTTTCGACGTGCTCGGCGCGCGAGATGTCCACCCTAGCCTTCGTCTCGAAGATCACGCGGTGCCCAGCGTCCACCAGCTCCACCACACATAGGAACCCCCTCGACACGTCGGCACTTCTCGCCTTTAAGCCCTCATGCTCTCGTGGCTCTTCACGAAGCCCACCAGAGGTGTAGCCCCCTTGTCTGCAGCCTGGTTGTTCGCAGTCCTGTAGCAACAAGCTCCAGGCATCGACTCCCTCGTCGCGTGCAATGGGCAATGGGTAAGCCTCGAACTTCGCAGCGGGAACCATCGTCACGCCCGCGCAGGAGTCGACGCTCATCCGGATATTCTGGCACGCCTCCCGTGCTCGAGTCACCCCAGGAGCCCTGGGCCCCTGAAAGGCGTTGACGAAGAGGCCCTGCAGCTCCGGCACCTCGTCCTCCGTGTCGTTCTCCAGGGATTCGGCCGTCTTGTTGCCATTCTTCAGCGGGCAGTCCCTCATGCAGTGCCTCCTCTTGTTGCAATTGCGGCACTTGTGGCAGACGACGTTTTTGGTGTCGACGCCCTTCCAGATCCACCACCGAGTCTCCGGTCCTTGCCCTCATTGGTCTCACCATCGAAGCTTTCCCTGGTGGGCTTTTGCCTGCATCCTTGCCTCCGTCCTTAGCTGCTCTTCCTCCTGGGCGCCAGCGGCGCTCATAGTTGTTGCACGCCACATCGTTGTTCTTGCCCGTCTTGCCTTTCGGCTGCTCTTTGCCCCCGCGACCACTTGGGATCCGACCGCCGTACGGCGCAGGAGGAGGAGGAGGGCGATGGTGACTGAAGGCCGCGATCTCCATCGTCACGGGCCCCGACATGGTGCGAGCCGTCTGAGCCGTTCGGATTTGCCAGGCTTCCTCTCTGAGCTTGGCCCAGTTGTCCTGCTTGCCGATGTTGAGAAGCAAGTGCGAGCGAAGCGGGCCGTCCTCGAGATTCTGGATGACCACACCGACCTTCATGGACTCGGATTTAGGTTCTGTCGTTGGCCACCCGCGAGTCGTGCTTGAAGCACGTCCTGTCGAACTCCTCTAGGCAGCTCTCCACATCGCCTGAGACAGAGAATTCCAGCAGCTCGACCAACATGCCGACTTGCCCCGTCATGGCCCGTCGCTCGTAATGGGCCACCAACTGGTACCATCCCGCCAGTCCTTTTCCGACTCCGGCGTTCACTGCGATGTTCAAGGCCTGGGTCCGCACCAACATCATCAATATGTAGGTAGCAGAGTTTCTTGGAGTTCGCCACCTCCTCCGGGGTCATCACGGCACTCCTCGGCGCATGCTCGAAGTTGGCCGTGCTGTCCATCAGCTCGCCCATCAGCTCGTCCAGCACCATGCAGAATGCGCGTGTCACCACGGCTCAGTCCGCCCGCTTGCTTCAAGTCCGGTCGAAGTAGTCAGGCTTCCCCGAACTCGCGTGTCCAGGACTCCCGCCTGTGGTCCTGCCGCAGTTGCTTCGGCTGCTGCAGCGCCCTGCGCCTGCGTCCCAGCCGCAACCTGGGCGTCCACCTGCTGCTGGAGGCGCTGGTTCGCTGCCTGCAGCTCCGCCACGGTCGCCTGCATCTGCTGCATCATCGCCTCCATCGCGGCGATGCCTGCCAGTGTCTCGCGTATAAGCGGTGTGGCCGCAATCAAGCGTCCACCGCTCACGCTTACTTACATGATCAGATGTTCTTTTCACCTGGCCTCAAGAACTACTTGAGCTGAAACGGCTACGGGGGGAGAGAGAGAGAGAGAGAGAGAGAGAGAGAACGGTTGCAACTAACCGGTCACAGTTTGGGTAGTTGCAAGTTCCCGTGGTATTGCCCCACATGTCAGGACAAACATGGAGGGCAACAGGACCATCCAGGAACTATGGCAACAGATGGGGAATTCTGGAATCGTTGCAGATTTGGTTGTGACTCCCTGGCCCCTTGATGTTTCGAAAAAGAAGAGTAGCATAAGCATTCACTTTCGGAGTGCCGTGCGGAGTTCTTGGATCTGCGCCTTGCCCCCTTGGCGGCGCCTCCAGCGCCGCCCCTGGCGCGCTTGGGGCGCTCCGCGCGCCATGGATTGGGGTCGAGCGCAGATACAAGGAATCGGCGCGGACCTCCGAAAGTCGATGTTCGTACCATGTTTTGTTCCTCTGTTTGTCTTCGCCCCCGACCTCCCACGCCGAGGAGCCCCAAGGGTCAGCAAACTCTGACCGCCCTCGGCCCCTGGAGGAGGGCGCGCCCCCTGACGATACTGCTCCTGCCGCTGCCACCTTCACCTCCTCTGCTCGCCTGGCAGTCGCCCAGGGTCCCCCGGCAGGGCACCATCAAAGGCAACGATCGAGGGTGGTGGTGGTGGTGGCACAGGGGCAACGTTAGGTTCGAGGCTCGAGGTTCGAGTTGTTGGGCGCTTTCGTCGGTTCTCGGCGGTTTTCCAGCCTCGGGATGCTTTCCAGCGGCTGCGCCTTGTCGAGGGCGTTCTCGGGCGCTCTCGGGGTGCCCAGATCGTCTAGAACGGCCGCCGGCGAGCGGATGTATGCTTCGAACGTCACGGGGCAACGACGGTGGGGATGCAGGCCCAGGGGGGGATGCATCAACCCCCCATCATCCATTTGGGGGGATGCATCGACCCCCCATCGTCCATTGGTTGCCGATAGGGGTTTGATAGCCTCACCCCGCCGAGGAACGTGCGTATTCGCTGTCCAGGGGCCGAACGCCGATCTATCGGCGCTGTATAGCCGATTCCGGGTCGATGTTGCCAGTCACCCTATCGTTGCCCCTCAC